CTTGGAAATACGGCCGGAGCTTGTTTGCCGCCATCACCACTGCCAATGCAGCCTTTTCTATAAGCGCATATCGTGTTTCGTGGCCTACCATGGTACGACTAACATAATACACTGGCCTCTCTTCATTCGTATATGTGTCCCTTGATATGAGAACTGCGCTCACAGCAATGTGGGATACTGCTATATACAAATACAACACTTCTTTGGCCTTAGGCGCCGTCATCACCGTAGGGGCCGTGAGCACTTTCTTCAAGTCGTCGAATGCTTTGCTACACTCCTCAGTCCACTTGAATTTGGAGGCCTTTTTCAACACCTTAAAAAATGGGGCGCCCCGGTCAGAAGCTCGGGGAATGAAGCGCCCAAGCGCGGCCAATCTGCCCGTCAATCCTTGCACTTCTTTCGGAGTTCGAGGGGGCGCCAGACTCAATATCGCCTCCACTTGTTTGGGATTTGCTTCAATCCCTCTCTTGGTTATCATGAATCATAAGAACTTCCCCGCTTCTGCCAAAAACACACATTTCTTAGGATTGAGCCTCAGCTTGAAGAGTCGCATTGTCTCAAAGGTTTCTCGTAGGTCCTCAATGTGGTCTAGGCGCCTCTTGCTCTTTACAATTAGATCGTCCACATATGCCTCCACATTTCTCCCTAGTTGCTTTCGGAAGACTTGGTTGACCATTCGCTGGTAAGTTGTCCCCGCGTTCTTTAGACCGAACGCCATCACTCTGTAACAGAAATTACCAAAAGGTGTCATGAAAGCTGTCTTCGCCCTGTCCTCCTCTGCCATGGGGATTTGATGGTAACCCGAGAACATGTCGAGGAAGCTAAGCGCCTCATGATAAGCCGTCGCATCCACCAGCAGGTCAATACGTGGCATGGGATAAGCGTCTGTGGGGCATGCACGGTTAAGGTTCGTAAAATCCACACACATTCTCCAATCTCCCGATGGCTTTGGGACAAACACTAAGTTCGAAAGCCAAGTAATGTATCTTGCTTCTTCCACGAATCCCGCCTCAAGCAACCTATCTACCTCCCGACGGAGCGCTTCTTCCTTTTCTTGGGTCAAATTCCTACGCTTTTGTTGAACGGGCCTTTTGCCCTCCTCCACAGCCAGCCGGTGCACTGCTACCTCGGGCGACACGCCGGGCATGTCTTGCGCACTCCAAGCGAATAACTCTCCAAATTCGCGCAACAATTCAATCAATGGAGCCCTCATGTCTGCGGGCGCTTGCTCCGATATTCTCACTTGTCGTTCTGGGCGCCCTTCATCAATTGCCACAACCAATTCCCCGTCCACTGATTCAGCTCTAGGCGCCTCCTCAGGTCGGATGTCAATGACATTCAGCCTATGTCGTCGGGCGCCTGGCTCCACCTCTCGTGCATAACATGGGGCGCTCCTTCCTCTCGAAATGCCTATTCCCTGTGGTGCCACGAACTTCAATGACTGGTGACACGTAGAAGCCACCCCATTAAATTGTGCCAACAAGGGGCGCCCTAGTATAACATTGTATGGTGAGGGGCAATCCACAATTCCAAACTCTATCGAGTGAGTTACACAATGCACTTCATCTCCCAAAGTCACTGGAAGCCGCACTCTCCCGATGACTTGGGCGGGCGCCCCTGAAAAACCCTACTAACACCGAGCTTGAAGGTCTTACTAGCTCTGGCGCCAGTTGCATGCGCTCAAACGTGCTCTTGAATAGGACATCCATTGAACTACCCGTATCCACCAACATTCTCTTCACCTTGCATCCTTCTATCACGCCTTGTATCTCCAACGCCTCTTCTGATGGAACTTGACATGCCTCCTCGGCTTCCTGATTGAAATGTATGTGCACCGCCGCCTTTGCTTCAACTGATGCCGCTCTTAGGCGCCTTGTTCTCTCCAGCTTATCCCTCAAATCAAGGGTTCCGGTAATTGATTCCACCGTGAGCCTCACGCGGCTGGGGTCACCATTTTGATCAACCTCAAAGGGTGGTGGGGGTATCTCGGGCGCTTGTTTCATCCTCGCCTCCTTCTGTGTTTCTTGCGCCTTGGGCGCCGTGAGTGGCCCGGATACCTCTGATTCGATGCGCGTGATAGGCGCCCGTTCTGCCACTCTTGCCGTGTAAGTGCGATGGGTCCTGTCCTCCCCCCTTCTGACGAAATCATTAAGCATTCCCTTATCCGCCAACGTTTGGAGCTCGGCCTTCAGCTGATAGCAATCAGCTGTGTAGTGGCCTTTGTCTCGATGGAAATCACAGTAACGATTAAGATTTTTCTCGTTTGGTTGTCCACGCATCGGACCTGGCCACCGTATGTGATACCCTCTCTCCTTGACGTATTGCAAGACATTCTTCAGTGTATCATTGTACTCCGTGAAACTTCCCGATGACCTCGGTGTCTGGCGTTGCACATCCAGTCTCCTTTAAGTCATGCCACTCCCCGCCGCTGGCCTCGGCGCCTGCCTGCCTTCCATCTCTTCGCCTCTCATGCGCCTTTTTTTGGCTCTGCGCGCCGCCAACGTTTCTTCCAACATAATTACTTTTTGCACCCTTCGATCCAAGTCTTCTGTGGACACTACATCTCGCTTCGAGAGGGCTCGACACAACTCTTCACTGGTCGTGCAGGCGTCTAGACATACTCCCAAAACCGCCGGCTTCACATCCTTGACCGCCATGGCGACTGAAATCCATCGATCATAGAATTCCCTCAGCGCTTCACCTTCCCTCTGTCTTATTTTGAATAAGGCGCCTATGGTTAGGGTTCGGCGCTTCCGGCTAGCGAACTTAGACAAGAACAACTCAGCGAATTGTTCGAAGCATTCGATGCGCCCTTCATCAATCTGATGGTACCAATCCAAAACAACTCCCGCGAACGTGGACGGGAACACCTTGCATAACGTTGCATCTGAGCTGTTGTACAATTGCATTTTGGTGAAGTAGCTATTCAAGTGGTCCTCCGGGTCGGCCACCCCATCATAGCTTGGCAATGGTGGTATCGTTGTTCCGGCTGGCTCCATCAAAATGTTTCGCGCAAGCGGTTGTCGAACACCAAAGCGTTTTTCAAGACGCCTAGGCGCCCATATATTAGGCTCCTCAAGGCCATTCGCCTGCGGTTCAGCTTGCTGCCTCCAAGTGCGTGGGCGCCCTTGATACCCAGCGCCTAAGTCAGCATGGTGCGGAACCCCGTACTGCATTGACTCAGAGTCTTCGTTTGCCCTCTCTCTCTTTCTGATACCCGGACTGTACGTCATCATGTCTTCACTCCTCCCCCCTTCTATTTCCCTCCTAAGCGCTGCAATGGCCCTATCCTGATCAGCGATAATTCGGAACAACTCTCTTTTCGTCAACGACTCATCTTCATGCGGTGACAGGCGCCCATGGCTAGCTTCCCCTTCTACATCCATAGGCGTCTCCGGACTCGACTGGTGCTCATCACCTCCCAAATTGGAGCTCTCTGATCGGACGACACCCTCTCCTCCATTCACCTCATCAAAATTTTCCATGCGCCTAGCTTCGACCCCCTACCTGGCGCGCCAATTGTTTAAGCCACAACACTCCGTACACGCTCCGTACCTAGATTCCCTTTCCTTGCGGATTGAGAGAGCAACCAGGCGCACAGGTTCTGCACAAATAAACGCCTAGTGGGCTTGATCGGCTCGTTAGCACTCCGAAGCTTAAGTCAGAGTCTGCTTCTAGAGAGAGAAGTAAGTTGAGGATTTTAGTGAGAGAAGCCAACCTGCGTAAATGCTACCTACCGGGTACTATTTATACTCGTCGAGGTCCCAACGGTCTTCTTGGCACTTCAACCCACGTCACCTCTTCATTTAATGCATGGTACGGTACAGCAGTCAGGCGCCTGTACGTGGCCGCTCCAAAACGCCGCAAAAGGGGCGCCCAGCAGGGACCACAGTTGCCATGTGGCTCCTTTCCCTGTCGCACTTCCGTACCCCTTGTCCTCATGCTTCCTTTGTCGTCATGCGCCTACCCTACACTGAAAAGCCTAGCCTACTGTTTGGGCCCATTGAAGCCTCACCTACTTCTTTTTGGGCCTGTTTTCACTATCCTATCCTCATGGGCTTGAGCCTGTTTATACTTCCCCAACAATTTCTTAGGTGGATATAATATATATCTTCATCGTTACACATTGGATTCAATTTAGTATACTTTTTCGTTTAGATAGATTTTTGTAATGATGTTTTGGGATATAATATATCATTATTGAATGATGGTGTAGGATATTAGTTCCTCTTATTTTAGGTTCAAATTGATGCATTTTCCCCTTTATCGTTCCCTTTTATCGGTTAATAATTTTTATGATATTTTTCACTATGAAATATTGTGAGCAGAATCTATACACAACAATTTTTATTTTTTTCGCTTCCTCTTCTCTTGATTAGATATAGTGTCCATATTGATTATTGAATCACTACTTTTTTTATGAAATTTATGAAACTAAGATGCATTTTTTTGAGAAACATGAAACTAAGATGCATATTAATAAAGAATATAAGGTGTCATCTTCCTTCTTAAGGCTTTAGCACTACATATCATTGTTTACCTACCGTTATAACGTCTTTCTAACTTGAGTACGAGCTACAATGACTTTTATTGTTGTCGATTTTCCCAAAAATACTTGGTATGTTGCTTTTAGTTTTCGCATTCTTTTCAGTTTGATTTAGCTTTTTAATTGTTGCTCTATTAGTTCAACTTGCCAGTTGGAGATCTGCATGCTTCGACTACATTAATGTCACAGTGACTTCTATATGAAATGTCACTCGAAACATGAGTGTGTGAGTTAGTTTCTTATTCAGGACACTCTAAACATATACTTTGTTCCATTATATCATTGAGTAAACTAAAGTCAATGGAAAAGTCGAAACATTTTATCATATACTAAAGATTGATTATGCATGTATGATGTAAAACAACTCTTATCGTGGTTCTTCTTAGACGTTTTTATATCAATACGACTTTGTTTGAAAAATATGTATTTATGTTAGTGTAGTTGGACGTTGTTCGTCATTTTTTAAACTTCATTAGTCAAATACATCAAATACATCAAATACTTTCCTATATTATTAATGGAGAATTTATCAAACTAAATAGTTATTTCAAACCTCAACAACATGAACCATAATAAAAATATATACCTACACTTATACATGACATCATGAGAATTAACTATAATCTAATCATTTAATAAGTATTTTCCAAGTTCTTGCGAGAAAAGCCAATTGAGAAAAAAAAAATCAGTATAATATCATTGTATTTGCTAGCCAAAATAAGATTGATCAACCCAAAAAACAAAAGAACTAAAACAAGAACTCGTTGGATGTACAAAACGGGAATGGTTTTCCAGTCAGGGAGCAAGGATCTGGAAGCCGTAGTTGATTTGAAACTGAAGCTCCTTGTTATGGACGGCCCGTGAGTAAGGCGCCACCGCGGCGGCCTGGGCTCGCCCCTTCCGTTTCTGAAGGAACCTCTGCAACGATCTCTTCATCGACAACCCCACCGCCGGAGGAGTTTCCGGTGAAGCAGCCCGCCGCTGCGGCTGCTCGTCCCCGGGGCTCGTCACCGATTTGTCGTCAGCCATTGATGCCGTCTCTTGACTACTGCTACTGGCCAGCATCATTATAATGGCTCTGGCCAGCATCTCCGTCACGTCGTCGTAGACGCGGTACCTTCCGTTGTAGAAAATCGTGAGCGGCTGTTCCTGCTCCCGCCGGCTGTGGTCGTCGCCGGGAGTCGCCGGTGAGTGGAGGCTGAGCTCGAGGTTGCAGTTGGGGCTGCCCTTCTTTTCCATGAAGAGGAATTTCAGAGTATTTGCGGTTAGAATTTGAGAAGAGAAAAGATGGATGAATGTGTTTGGATTTAGATGGGTTTTCCAAAGCGTGGCTTCTGTACTATATATATATATATATATATAAAGGAGGTCGCAAGTTGCAACATGTTGGTGTGACGCTTTTGACGAAGCAGCTGGTTATTCTAAATCGTATCTTATTTTATTTGCTAATCCGAAGAAACGCTAATCGGCCACCGCCACCAGCACACCACCTCTTTTTCTGATTTTTTGTCAAAAGAAAAAAATTAATAAAGTGTCCAGATTCGACTAGATAAAATTATAAAGGCACGTGAAAAATCTTCCTGTACATGCGGAGGAGGGGGAAGTGGTGCGGTCTCTGCTACTCTATTCATTTTCTGTTCTGCACGTTTTTTCTGTTCGTTTTTATTTGGCAAAATACAGCTGTATATTCACAACTATCAGATTTGTGTCAAATATATCCACAACTATCGAAATACACGAAATATCCCAAAATCGGAAGGTTGTGTGATAAATCTATCCACTTCCGTCTGAAACTATAACGGCGTGTCGGACGGCGTTAAATTGACTAACGGAATGCTGAATCGATGCCATCTCACCTACCACATAAGCCAAAAAGCAACCAAACTTTACACGTAGAAGCCAAATAAGCTAGTTGAATAAAGGCAAAATACAGCTGTATATCCACAACTATCAGGTTTGTGACAAATATATCCACCAGTATCAGGTTTGTGACAAATATATCCACAACTATTGAAATACAGGAAATATCCATTTCCGTCCACTTCGTTAACTCCGTCAGTTAACTTGATGACTGGATAGACGGTGGATGCTTAGTTGGCGTGTTTCTGGCCCCACTGAATGACGTGGATTAAAAGAGGGAAAAAATTTAAAAACCCTAAAAACCACAGACGGCAAGACTAAAAATCCAACCCAGAAACATGCCCCATAACCACTTATCCTCCTCCGATCGACGGCTCCACCCCCAAATAACCCTACCCCAAGCCCAGATTTCGATTCCAACCACAATCCCCAACGATTGCCTCCCTTTTATTTCGACAGCTTCCATGCAATCGGCGCCATGGTGATACCAAGCTTGAATCTCAAAAAAAAAAAAAAAAAAAAACTTGAATCTAACCAAATCGCCAACAGAGAAGACTGCAGCAGCGAGGTCTAACAGATAACTGTGTAAAGTTTGGTTGCTTTTTGGCTTATGTGGCAGGTGAGATGGCATCGATTCAGCATTCCGTTAGTCAATTTAACGCCGTCTGACACGTCGTTATAGTTTCAGACGAAAATGGATAGATTTGTCACACAACCTTCCGATTTTTGGATATTTTGTGTATATCGATAGTTGTGGATATATTTGTCACAAACCTAATAGTTGTAGATATACAACTGTATTTTGCCTAATTTTTTTTCTCTTTTAATCCACGTCATTTAGTGGGTTCAGAAACACGCCAACTAAGCATCCACCGTCTGTCCAGTCATTAAGTTAACTGACGGAGTTAACGGAAATGGATATTTCGTGTATTTCGATAGTTGTGGATATATTTGTCACAAATCTAATAGTTGTGGATATACAACTTTATTTTGTCTTTTTATTTTCCTAACACGTGATTTGTGTTTTTTTTAACCTTTTTGGTGCTGTAGTTTGGAACCTGTCCAGTCCAGTCGACATAGTAAATAAACTAATTTAACATCGTAATTTCTACTTTAATCTCCTAGTCACAGTCACAGGCCTCTATTATTCCTCTTCCTTTCTCTTTGTTACCCCTAATTTTGGTTGGTTGCTCATTGTTCTTGTATAATTGCGTGCTAGGTTTAGATTGGGGGATTTCAATCCTAGGGATTTAAACTCTAAATTCTCGTTTAAAATGTCATCAACTTAGTATGTAGAATTTGACCGAAGTAACTTGTTCGGATCGAGATGTAGAATTTGAACCTAAAATCTCAAATTACATTGTTGTTCTCTTCTTCTAGCCTTCGTCATCTTCACCTAAGTTCTTCATTAGTTCATTATTTTTTCTTCTTCCAGATCACATAACATCAATTAACCTTGGCCAAAACATGGCCAGGCTTGGTCCACCAATTTTCAAAATCTTATTCGTGATAGTATAACCAAGAGCTAATCTATCTTGTGGATTCAACCAAGATTTCTTCTCATGCTTCTCATTAAACTGAGAACGCCACATAACCAATGCTCATCTTCTTCTTATGCTTCTATCCTAATCCCAAAATCTTAAAACGTAAATCGACGATGAAGAAGAAGAACTCCAAACCCATAATTATATCGATGAATAAGAAACCCGACTGACTACCCCTCACTATTGGTCTGCAATTGAGAGATTCGAGCTCGGACCAACGACAAGAGAAGAAGGCGATGACACTAGATTCTCTCCCTGTGACTATTGACAACCAAATATTTGGATACTCAAGGCTCCCACAACGCTCCTCTAGGAAAAGCTCCTCCAATCAACAATGGGATCGACAACGATGAGATTACTGAGACCCATTCTAGTCAACTCCATGATTCTTTTTCGTCAGCAAGATTGTAAAGAGAATTAGAGGGTGACACTATTCTCATTTTCTTCTTCTTCTTCTTCTTCTTCTTCTTCTTCTTCTTCTTCTTCGCCAACGAGGGTTGCATTACCTAGTGAGCACAACTCCCTCGTCAATGATGCGACCCTGCTCACCCCACATGATGTCACTCGAGCTCGAATTAGATCTCTACATGGACCATGGGTCAAAAGGCGATTTAAGATGAGTGTTATTAACGCGCTGCTACGGATCGGGAAATTGTTGGAATCGACAAAGCAAGAATACGAAAGCGAGAATCGAAAACACGACACACTATTTACGTGGTTCACTAACACGATGTGTGTTAGCTACGTCCACGGGCGAGAGAGAGCCAATTTCACTATATCAAGGAGATTACAGATTACAGAGGAGTATGAGAAGTATTTATAGTACTTCTCCATGTGGGTCTAAACCTAATCCAATCTGGCAAAGGAAATGGTTACAAACCAGGCCCAGAACCCGAACCCAAATAACATTGAGCACATACACCGTGGGCCGGGGGCGTTGCCCCCTCACCCCCACCGGGGCGTTGCCCCTGGACCCCACTCGCTGACCCCCGATTACTAGTCGTAGCGGCTGATAGTCCGATTCAAGTCACATCACAAATCTCCACCTTGACCTGAATCCTCTTCCTCTGAAATCTCTGATGTACTCTGCTCCTTCTCTCTCTCCCGCCATCAATGCCCCGTAGGGCGGAGTCACCCACTCAAGACATTCATCAAGTCCAAGCAGTGTTGGAACTTGCCATGTGGAACCGGCTTCGTGAACATATCAGCAGGATTATCCGCGGTGCCAACCTTCTTCACCTTAATCCTCTTCTCTGTCCTCAAGAAATGATACCTGACATCGATGTGCTTAGTCCTCTCATGGTGGACTTGATCCTTGGCCAAGCATATTGCACTCAAACTGTCGCAATACACCACTGCCTGATCATATGATGTAGACCAAGATCACCAACCAGTCCCTTCAACCATATTGCCTCCTTAGCAGCTTCTATCAACGCCATATACTCTGCGTCAGTAGTAGACAATGTCACCGCCGACTGCAAAGTTGCCTTCCAGCTCACTACAGAACTCACAAGAGTGAATACATAACCGGTCATCGATCTCCTCATGTCAACATCTCCAGCATAGTCCGAGTCAGAATACCCAGACACCAAGCACTCTGTATCACTTCCGAAGCTAATCCCCACATCAGGTGTACCCTTAAGGTACCGGAAGATCCTCTTCACAGCCTGCCAATGCTCCTTCCCAGGTTGTATCATAAACCTGCTGACAACACTAACAACATGTGCAAGATCAGGTCTAGTGCATACCATAGCGTACATCAAGCTACCTACTGCACTAGCATATGTGACTCTTGACATGTACTCCTTCTCAGCCTCTGACTAAGGTGCATAAGCTGATGATAGATGATCATTTGAAGCACTAGGAGTATTTAAGGGCTTTGCTGAAGACATGCCAAACCTCGACAATATCTTCTGGATGTAGCTCTTCTGTGACAAGAAAAGCTTCTTCTTCGACCTATCCCTGTAAATCTCCATACCCAAAATCTTCTGAGCAGCTCCCAAATCTTTCATCTCAAACTCAGCACTAAGAAGCCCCTTTAACCTCTGGATATCAGACTTTGACCTCGCAGCTATGAGCATATCATCCACATACAGAACAAGATAGATCATCGAACCATCCTCCACCTTGTTGTGATACACACAACAATCATATGGACTTCTGCTGTAGCCTAGCTAAAGCATGTAACTGTCAAATCTCTTGTACCACTGCCTCGGAGATTGCTTAAGTCCATACAAGGACTTCTTCAGCTTACAAACATAGTCTTCTTTTCCCGGAACCTCGAATCCTTCTGGCTGAGTCATGTAAATTTCTTCCTCCAACTCTCCATGCAGGAAAGCTGTCTTCACGTCTAGCTGCTCGAGCTCCAAGTCATAATGTGCCACTATTGCTAGTAGCACTCTGATCGAAGTATGTCTGACCACTGGTGAGAAAATCTCATTGTAGTCAACTCCTTCCCTCTGCGAGAAGCCTCGTGCAACCACCCGAGCTTTAAATTTCATGCCCTCTTTAGAAGTGATTCCTTCCTTCTTCTTGTAGATCCACTTGTTTGTAACAATCTTCCTTCCCTGTGGTCGTTTGACTAGCTCCCAAATCTGATTCCTGTCATGGGATTCCATCTCATCTCCCATTGCGGCAAGCCACTAATCAGCTTCACCACCCGAAACTGCTTCTCTATAGGACTGTGGCTCTCCTGCATCCACTTCTTCAGCAACCTGAAATGAATATGCCACCATGTCCTCGAAGCCATACCTCTGTGGAGGTACCCCTGCAGTCGCTCTCTTCGGTCTACCGTAAGCTATAGACTGTTGAGCTCCTGCACTGGACTTTGAAGTTTCTGGCTCTGTAGAAACATCCTCATGTTGATCTTCTCCACCTTGGTTCTCAAACTCACTCTCATTGAGAGTTTG